GGATGAAGAAAGCATTACGAGTATATACATATTCGCTGCAGCTGGCGCAGTAGCGACGAGACTATAGCGATATTACGATCCAAGATGAAATTAACTCATTTGCATCGATCGAGCTCGCGACGTCTCGAGCGCGTCGCATTGTCGTCCTTTTCGGACTTTCGATGCGAGCTTTCTCTTTCTAACTATACGCTCGCTTCGCGGCGCGCATCGCGACAAAAAAAAAGAGTTGATCCTCATCGGCCGACCATTATAAAGTACGGCTCGTCGGAGCTAATCGAATGGCGCAGGTCTAGGGCAAAGGAGCCGAGCGCAGTAGCAAGAGCCGACGGCGAGCCGATGAAAATTGGAAAAATGACTCGAGTGGAAAAACGGCTCTGTGCTCTCTCGCTGTACCGGGCCTGCGCCGCACACAGCAACTAATCCACTTAACCTATGAAGTAGAAAGTCCAATCTAAAATATATATCCTGGCAGCTATAGCATAGCTCGGCTCGGCTCACGACGGCTGTAGCTGACGTGCTGCTGCTGCTGCTGCAAGCCTCTGCGCAGCTATATCTATCCTGTATCCACGAGTTGGCTTCGAGCACACGTTGGCCACCGCCTGTGCAGCTTCGCTTCGGGTTTTGTGGTCTGGAAGCCATACATAAATACATATACAGCTGTATGAAGCATCGCTTGGGCTGTGTGTACCTATACGCGCCGCGTCAACCTCAACTGCGCGCCTCTACACACGCGTGTATCATATATATAGGGTTTGCAAACACATACACAATGTATATACAAGTGTCAACAGCCAACCCTGCCACTCGTCGTCGTCGACGTCGTCTAGCTCGCACGAGTCAATGAGCGAGATATCGCCTGTTCCATATCCAATAACCGCTTCGACGCTGCTCCGATATTATACCAATGCGCTTGGATGCTGCGGCTGTATAGAAGCCATCCCCGCGTGTGTATATATATATCTATATACACGTATGCGCCTATGATGGCTATAATAACCTCGGGTATCGAGCGTGTCTGTTATTATATTCTGCAGGACGTATGGTTAAACCGATCGTGTCGAACGACTCGGCTCTATATATATGCTTCCCTCAACCTCTATCTCTAATACGAGCCCACTATACAGTCCTCGAGCGTATTGTCGTCCTTCGATCGATTACTTTTCGACTCAAATCCTCTTTTGTCAATTTTCTTTACTTCATCTTTTCTACGTGCAAAAAGTAACTAGTAAACATAATTAGACGGGCCAACAACAAAAATATACTTTTTTGTGCCTTTGCCGTATTCATTATTATTGGTGCCTGCCGAAATCGTTAATCCTTCGTTAAAATATTTTGCTATAATCGTGATTTTTCATTCTTTTTAGACTTTTTTCTACTAACAATCCATTTTTTCATACAAATATAGATCTTTCTTTAAAACAACAATTTTTTCTGTACATTAAAGCTTTTCTTTAATAAAAGAAATAGGTCATACTATGATATTAAAATAAAATTAGAAAATGAACAGAATATTTTCAAGTTGTTTGCCTTGTATTTGTGTGAACTTTCTTCAAACTAAGTATACGGATATTTTTATCGTTTGATTCACGAGTGAGTTTATTGTTAAACCGATGAAATATCCATTGCTTTTAAGCAATACAAGTGACTAAAATGAATGGGATTGATTGGAAGCAACTGAACAAGGAGTTTTTTTGGCTTACATCGGTTAAACAGCGTTGCAATTCGGCCTGACGAAAAAGAATCGTGAAAGTGACATCTGCCGTAACGGCAACTTCTGGATATAATTTTTCAGTAGTAAAAAAAAACAAGCCAGAGGAAAATAGGAAATAGCTCGTCTGCGAGCTATAGCCATATAACTCGATGCGTGTGCGTGCGATATGTAGATGCAACAATACCATTACACACTAGTGGAACAAGTCGTGGGAATAAACAAACACGAAGCTCCGCAATTATATTATATACTTTTACGCGCAGACGATAAAAGAACCGCACCAGAAGTCGGAAATTCCTTCTTCCTTTTCCTACTGCTGTACAACGCGCGCAATAAATTATCAAGGAAGTGCGTGTGCGAGTACGAGGTGCATCCGCGTGCGCTATGTTTGCATTTAAACGTGTTGTATTGCTGTTTACGTTCGTTGCAGCTAGGTGGCGTCGACTCTGGGCGTCGCACCCCAACGAAGGAAAGTACACTTACGTGATTATAAATGCATCTACAAAATTTTTGTAGACTAACTGGGATTTTTGTTTTTGACCCATATTCCAAAAAACCATTGCCATCATCATCTCATTCATTGGTGAAGTAATTACAATTCTCGGCTTGCACACAGACTTTGCTCCAAAGTGAGAGGAAAGTTGAAGCAAGTAGTTCTTTGACGACCGATAGTAATCTCTGCTCGAGCGAGGATTCACTTTTCCAACTAGCTTTATGTAGAACTCGGTAAAAAAGAGCCCGTTTTGTGTATGCTAGCTCGCCTATATATGCTGCACCGCGCTCTACCTCGTCGAATCTCGATCATCGATATATAATCGTCGAAGATTTTCACTTCGATTACTGCGTTGACTGCATCTCTCATTCTCTCGAGCGCTATGCATACATATTATATAGTACATGCCTTGTGCTCCTTACGCGACCGTCGTTTTTTTTTTCATTATTTTCCCAATGAAAAAGTGTGAGAAAAAGAAGATAAAAGAATAATTTTCATTAATTTGTAGCTGCATAACTCGTTCACTTGCTCCGGCTAGCTTAGATTATAAACTGCTCTGATTGGTTCGTAATAGAACAGAGCGTTTACGAGTTCGAGCTTTCCTTTGGAAAAACACCGTGGCAATTTCGACTCGCATTTTTTTCCTATCGATTTTCTTGTGCGAGGAAAGCGCGTCGGTCGACGCGCAAGCCGGGCCCAAAACGAGTCAACATTTTTCTTTGGTCAACAATAAGCGAGACGGGTTAGTTTCGCGCTTCCTGATGCCGCTTCCTGACGAGCTCGTTCGTTCGCTGGGTCAGGCACAATGCAACGATTTCCAGTCGACTCGCAGATAGCAGCCCGATTAATTTGTAGCGGGCATTGTGCGATATGAAATCCTTGCCGAGACTTGACCTATAATAGCCGTAAAGTGGAAATAACACAGATGCGCCGCTCTTTGTTCGAATCAGCGCGATTGCCTCGGCCGATCAATGAGAGAAGGAGGAAAAGCGATCAGAGACTCTCGAGTATGATCGGAGCTATGGCTTTCTCGCTAGTTGCTTTTCGCATCCTTTTCCCGCGCCAATGCAAATTACGTAAATGCGCAAACGAATCGATCGAGCGAGTGGCTGTGGAGGAGGTATAGCGTGGTCGATTATGCCAGTCGGACGCTATATATAGCACGAATCTACGCCTTGCTCCTCTCGTCGCCCATGTGAAAAGCCATTAAAAGTAAATAATCTCTTTCCCTTTTGTTAGGCTCGTTGCTGCGACTGTGCAGCCGCTGCCAACTCGCTCGTCGAGAAAGAAAAAGGAAAGCGGCCATGTTCTCAAACGAACGATAGCAATTATGCAAGTACGAATGGCTAAAAGTGCGGTTGCGAACGAAAAAAATACATCCGTGAGACAAAAAAAGGCCGTATACATTATTTTGCGCACGTTTCAATATTGTTCTCGAAAATCTCTTCGAGTAAGAGTATTTTCGACAGTCACGTGTCAAAGGCAATTAAAGGACTAAATATTTCCCAGCGTGGCATTTAAATTCAAGCGTACTCGAATCTAGATGATGCTATTTTTCTTTGCAACGCTCAGTTGCCTTCACAATATCTTTATAATTAAATTTAAAAACTATGTTTAAAAACTAGATGCAAATAAGTCATGAAGGCTCGCAAACAGCGGATTAACCTCGTTTAACTAGAATGATGCATAAACTTAAGTAAAGACTCGTAATAGTCGAACGAAAAAAGATCAACGTCCGCGTAGAAAACACGACTCATTTTTGTTCGCGCGTACATGTGTTGCTCTGTTGCTCATCCCTGGCGACAAAGCAGTGTGCGCGCAAACATCGTTACATTATGTAGCTCGCAGCAGCGCCTAAAAGCTCTGCATACGAGCCCGAGAGCTGCTGCGTATATAGCATAGCATTTGCAAGTCAAGACTTGTAATTAGTCAATTTTCGAGCTCACAATTTGCATACGCTACTTCCGAAGGCTCGATCAGGTTTACATAATTATAACGGCTCGAGCTTCAACTTCGAGACTAATGTCTTTTTCAATGCTAACGTACCGAATGAGCATTACGTTTGATTAAGCTTTCGTTGCTGTGCACATTTCAGCAAACTTAATTGGCTGCATAAACAAATGGGCTGCTTTAAATAGCAATCGTCGACGCAGTAGCAGCTATTCCCTTACAACTCGGCAGTGCGTTGCATTTGGGAAAAAAAAAGTTCTCGAACCAGTTCCGCTAAATCGCTTCATCCATGACTCGAGATCGGCAATATGTAAAGTCGTTGCTAAAAAATTCCCATATACTTTATCAGCGAAAGTACCGATTCGAATTATACACCGATTATTAGACGAATCCATGATTTAGTGCTACTGGTTTTCGCATCAAGTTTATTTACTAAAGCGATTGATTTATTGTAAATATTTTAGTTCACTAAAAAACAAGGGCGAATAAAAGGCTGGGGATGAATGTATTACATCTCATGCGAGCGTATGCGTGTACTGGATAAAAAACGAAAAAAAAGAGAGAGAAAAGAAAGAGAGCCGCAGGAAGTTGGCTCTCGAAACTGTACATGTGCGCACGCGTAAGTGCATGGATGCATATGTATCTGATGCAGTTGTGAGTGAGTGTGCATGTGTGTGTATATGTGTGTGTTTGCGTTCGGAAGAAGGTGTACGAATGTATGTATATATACGGTAGAGGAAAAGAGAGTTGCTATGGAGCTGCTGCTGCTGCTGCTGCTGCGGTAGGCTCTCGCTCGCGCTCTGGGTCAGTGGGTCAGTGAACGTTGGTGTGTTTTTGCTGTTGCAGGGACGCCGTGCCGAAGCAGTGCTGCGGTCTGGGATCTCCGCCGGTGCGCTGGTCTATCCTCGGGGTCGGCGTCGTCGGCCTCGTCTGCGCCGGTGCGGGTGCGCTCCTCGGAGCTCTGCGCGCCACTGGCCGCGACCACATAGCCGTCGCTCTTCTCATGATAGGTAAGTCTTTTAACAACGATTTCAATTGCAACGATTTCGATTCGCCCCCTCGTAAGTGGCGCGTAATTGCCGCGTCGAAAAAGTTCCTCGTTCGGTTCAACTATATACAGTTTAACAATAAAAAGTTTCGAGACTAGAACTCGCAGCTTCGAGTCGTGTCCCATATACCATACTATGTACTTTAAAATGGGATAACTTTTCGCTCGAGCCTTGGATTACGCGAAGCGTCACGGTCTCGAATGTAGCTCGGGTGGCTCGCGCGTATATAGGTACGCACGCAAGAATAAGCCGAGCAGCGAGCCCTCGCTCACGCGCAGATAATTGGGTCAACGTAACGAAATTGAGAGCGTCAGCTGCTCACCTGCATCGCAATTAGGTGGGGGATTCTGCGACTATAAAAAAGAAAAGGAAGAGCAGCTGCCCACGTGACACAATGAAACGAACCGAGTTAAGTTTTTATATGTATAAAAAAAAAAAAAAAAAAACGAAGAAGCGATTAGAAGAGGAGGTCGATCGCGCTCGCACTAGGAAATTTCGGTGGGTCGAGCTGCGATCGTCGATGCACGCGCTGCATCGATACGTCAATTTTGCTGCTGGCCGGTCGGCGGCGGCGGGGAGTAGCGCGCGCGAGCCCGGGAAAAGTTTGGCAAGGCGAAGGCGTCACTTTTTCCCGGCCATGACCCTGCGCGTCGAGGCAGTGGCCAGCAGCAGCAGCAGCTCTTGGCCTGTTATATGCTGGCACGCTGCGCGAAGCGTCGATATATAGGTATAGGGATGGCAGCTAAAATTGCGCTCTCTCGAGTAGTCCGAAACTCTCCGGGCACGCTCTAGCTCGTGTATATAGTGTACACTCGGTATGCGCTATAGTCTGGCGCTAGGCGAGCGCACGCGGTTTCCTTGACCTACATACCCTCGTGTGCAGAGCAGCAGCAGCAGCAGCAGCCCAGCACCCGCCACATCTCGCCTCCCTCCCTCCCTGGCCTCCTCTCGAGCTACACGTGTCTACGACGTCACAGTCGCATACGTATATGCTGCCTATATATTCCACATTATGAGCGCGTATCTATATTTACATTGTCCGAGCTATATCGTGCCCCTTATCATCGTCCCGGAGCTATAGCAGCAGCTCGTGCCTCGGCAAAAAATCTTTACGCACCGAGTTTTCTTTTACCCCCGTTCTCTTTTATCGATCGCTCGGCTGCTTTACCGCGCGCATCCGGCTAAATTGTTCGTACCGCGTGCGTGAAATTTATTTTATTCAATTTTCTCTTTTTTATACAAAATTCAATTCCAGACTGATAGGAGCGCGACGAGAATATATTTCCGAGGAATCGTGCGAGTATTGGAGAAATCAATTTTCTGCAATCTCGGAAAAAATGTAGTACACGCGCGATAATTTATGCTCATTAGTCACTCGATTACATCTTCAAGGTATTCCGGTCGCGCTTTATGCATGGAAATAAAACTGGTTGGCAGTCGGAGTGTGTGTGTATCAGCTCGATCCTTGCAGCTGTATCGGAAAGCCAAGTCTCGTGTGAATTATAATCGCGTTGCAGTCGCGGTGGTGTCGCGTCGCTATTATATCGTCGCACGCAAGGATCGAGCGCGACGCGTTTGTTATGCGTAGGACAAATGCACGCACAGATCCTGCGAGGCGAGCTCGTCGTTATTTCCGACCTCTCCTAATGAAAGCACGTCTCTACTTAACCCAGAAACTACGCGTAGAATATAATCTTGCGCGATTTTTGAACCTTGACCGGCTTTCCATAATTTCCTATTCGCTCGCGCCTCATCGACGGGCTTCATCAACCTTTTTTCCATTGTACTTTATATCGTATCGTACGCGATCGAGATGACTTCGGAATTGGCATAAACGACTTAATCAAGCATTACCGACAGTCCTTGGAGGGGTGAGCGCGAGGATACCTAAAAGTACATCCGATAACACGAACACGATTGTCCTCGCTACTGCGATGACGCTCGTGGTTGAAAATCCTTCGGCTCGGCATGGCTCATTGTCGAAAAATATTGACGTAGGAAGGTCCAATGTTCCAAGAATTATTGTTTCAGCGTAGAGCAGAGGTGAGTCGTGAGCGCGTCAATGACACAGTCTCTTTAGGCTTTTAGATCATGTGTCCCCTTGACATCGATTCTACCTGCGGCTAATCAGTAATTTTCTTAACAAAGAAAACGTAGACGCGTGCGAGCTTTATGCATTCCTCGGCCGCGAGCTGCTATACGCGATCGCTTCGTATCGGCTGGCTAATTTAGCCGCGCGAAGCTAATTATTTAGTCAAAGTCGATGTTGCCACTCACGCACTCGCACGGTTACGATCGCGCATTCTTCTAGCGCGGCTCTGCGAGAATCAATAATTTTCGCGCGCGCTCGACGTGTGCAGCGCGCAAGGATATAGCTACTAACACGGCGCACACAACGTGCAGCGAGTTTCGCTTTCGACATAATGTGCTCCCCGCGTGTATCCTCGAGTCTCGAGGTGTGGCTCCGCACCGCTGCTGCTGCTGTAGCCGCTATACCATATACTACCTAGCTTATATTGCAACTGCATCGTGAGCTGCACCGCGCAGCAGCTATTTCATCGTTTATTCGTAAAATTGCGCAAAACGCCATATTGCAGCTGTATACTATAGAGCGATCGCGAGCGCGCAAAAAAAAGTCTGCGTGCGACCGAACGCGCGAGAGCTCTCTGCGGCTGCAGCGCGAGAGCCTGACAGCTGCTGCTTATAACCACACACACACGCACACACATTATACTCACGCGATTCGCAATGAATTAAGAGTCGATCGTTGAATGAATTAAGGCCGCGCAGAGTCGACGTGCGGCGTCGGCGGCGGGCTTTCTCTCTCCCACACTGCGCTCGAGTATGCATGGCGTTACTTCGATAAGGCAAAATCATTCGGTAGCGGAATCTCGTCTTCGGCCCAGAGTCCCGATCCCATCGAGACGAGTGCGTGCCACACGACTTGATCGCAGAGATGCAGTTCTGTACGCTCGAGCTCTGCCAAGTTTTTGCTCGTAAAATTCATCGCTTGGCTTTTGGCCGGCAATTGATCCGAATAATACTGGCGCGAGACTCAACATCCATGTTTCGATGCGAGAAGTATATTTGAAAATATTGAACTTTGACCTTTCAATTGATCTTTCGTGTACACATCTATATGTGTGTCTGTCGTGGCGCGCTCCGCTTTCTATTTCTGAATGTGAAAAAGTTGAGCAATTTTTTCTTACGTGCGACGGATCTCATCGAATAATCAATGAGTCCTTTCAGACTTTTTTGAGGAATTTTATCTAAATGCACGAAGTACTATTCTGATCCGTATACCTATTTTATGAATGGATCGCCGCATAAAGTTGAAAATCTATTTACGGTTATTGTGCTACTTTGAATATAAGCAAACTCGAGCGAGATGCGGCTTTTTCAAGCTCATACCATTAACTTCATTCATTCATATCTAGTCTGATCTTTTCCATTTCAAACTCATTGGATTAAAAAAAAGTTTACATTTTTGCAACTAAAATGTGCCGGTATGAACAAGAAACTAGGTTCCAACGCGTTCAATGAATTTCACAGATTTCTTAAATTTCAATGAATTTTTTTTAAAAAAACTTGGAAATAATCAAAAGTTTTTAGTTAAAATTTTTCATTACGTACATCCGTTGAATTCCATTTTTATGATGTTTACAATGGGTACAAAATGTAACTCATTTCTCCTCAAAACCAACTCATTTTTTCTTATTATGTACTTTTTTTCGAAAATGTATAAAAATGATACGACACTTTCTCTAATGGATCTCTTTCATTGTATTCTATTGAAGCTAGGATTTTCGCATCTCAACAATAAAATGCACAGATATATTTCATACGTGGCACTGCTATATTACTTGTGTTTATTAGAGCATCGCAGGAATAATGATATTTTTTGTGACAGTCTGTGCATGCGGATTTACATGTAAACACACTCCGACACGCACAACAACATTTTGATTGATTGATAGATAATGCAGCGCTCGGAGCTTTGCAGATTGGCCGAGTTGTCGTTCAATAAGAGAGCGAGGGGCAAAGAAAAAAAAAAGGAAAAAGAAAAAGCTCTTGGCTTCTTGCTTCGTCGCTTCAGCCGCTCTCGACATTTTCGATTTTCCAGAACAAGTCTTTCGGGCATAGAATTTTCTCGCCGGTATTGCGTAATGCAACGTCGCTCTCGAGTCGAATCCTTCGGTGCAACGAGCTTTCGCATCCCTCGCAGCAGCAGCAGCAGCAGCAGCAGCTGTCTGTCGCGCGTACTCTGCTCTCGTTTTTCCGATTTAACTCTCGTTCGATATTTATCTTGAGCCCACTGCGCGAGGTATCGAATTTTTTCTCTACCTCGCTGGCAGCAAATGCATTTCTGCGTTCAAAGCGATCGTAGCACCGAAGCCTTGGCTCTTAGCGGAGCAGATTTGTTCGACTGCAGACTGCGAGTGCATTAGCATCGCCGCGATAAAGCAATTACGAGCTGTTACGTTATTTCGATGTGCAGCTTATGGCTCTGCACTCAGCTAGTCTAACGTTCGAGTTGCATCTCACTAGCTGGGATTGATTTTCTCAGTCACGTCGAGAGATTTCGAACTACGATTGTAAATGAAACACGAATGGCCAGAAAAGTCAGTCGACTGTTGCCTGCTCGATGCATGTACGTGCCAAGTCGAACGCAGGGGATGTAAGTTTCGCCATAACTTTTGCTTAATAAGCTACATTTATAGGCGAACGATAAGACGGGGGATTTTTATCTCCGCCAGCACGAGCTGCAGCTTTTTTCATTCGCAGCGCCGAGTGCGAGTCCGAGTAGCGATTCCGAGCTCTCGCATATTTCGTCGCCCTAGCTGCGCTGCGAAGCACGTATAGTTGGCGCAGGATGGCAACTCGCGTAGGCGGCTATGTATGCACTTGTGCGCGCAGCGACACGTTGTTAGGGGAGTCGTGTGTCGATGCTGCGCGCGGCA